GGAGGAAGCCCGACAAAAATGGATAGGATGGTTGAATTGTATAATCATATGTAAGATAGTGATGAGAATTGTAAAGAAATTATGATCTAGTGGTCTATATTTATATACTACTAATAGTAGTGTGCTTGTGAAATAATCTGATATTTGATATGGATTGATAGACGGAGTGGAGGTATTTCCAATGTAATGAATATTCTACAACCACCAAGGGTGGAAGTGAGCAGGAAAATTGATGGGACTCAAGCAGGAGGTCAGGCTTATATATATGAGCCACTTACTGGGGAGGAAAACCTCAGGATAGCTAAAAGTATGAAATTTTAGAAATGTTTTCTAAAGAATACTCATCTAGTGTGATGAAAATTGATAGGTAATTACATTAAGTGTAGATACATGCATAAGAGTAAAATGAAATTGAGTGTGAAAATGATATGACTAGTGAAAGGACTAGGGTACCATTGAATGATGAAATTGTATTATCAGTACAAGGACTGATGTACAATAAAGTTGTGTATTGTATTATCAGTGCAAGGACTGATATACAGAAAATTGTGTATTGTATGATCAGTGCAAAGACTGATATACAGAAAATTGTGAATTGTATCATCAGTGCAAGGACTGATGTACAATAAATTGTGTATTGTATGATCAGTGCAAGGACTGATGTACAATAAATTGTGTATTGTATGATCAGTGCAAGGACTGATATACAGAAAATTGTGAATTGTATCACCAGTGCTAGGACTGATGTACAACAAATTGTGTATTGTATGATCAGTGCAAGGACTAATATACAGAAAATTGTGAATTGTATCATCAGTACAAGGACTGATGTACAATAAATTGTGTATTGCATGATCAGTGCAAGGACTGATATACAGAAAATTGTGAATTGTATCATTAGTGCAAGGACTGATGTACAATAAAATTATAAATTGTGTTAACGATGCACTTAGTTCTATACGATTTGAATGGTAACATGACAGAAGAAACTATTAAGAGTTAAGGAATGTGTACGAGATTGTGAAGAGAATATGAATTATTATAATACTGACTATGTTATAAACCAGGTCTGAGGGTTAACCAAGAGGAAAGTAAACTATCTGTGGGGAGAATCAAACGAGGAAGTATAATGAATTTACTTATATGTAATATGTGTATATTATACCACTACTACTATTATTATTGGGGGCAGCCCCATGTGAATATACCAAATACATTTTGCCGTTATATACGGAAATGATACAGACACCAAATGGACTGGGTCCAGGTGTGATTTGGGGTGTACTGGGTACACGTTTTGCCGTTATATACGGATATAATATATATATGAATTTCCCTATGCACTGGGTGCACATTATATGAATTGATATTACTTTCTCTGTGCGGCTTATGTGCTAGGAGTGTATGACTATCTCCGTGCGGATTATGTTCCGGAGACTAGTGTTATCTGATATGAGTAATATGAGACGAGAAAGTATCCCGCATTGGTGGGACTGCTAGTATAGTTGAGGTATTTCATATAAGTGCACAAATAAGAAACATTTGGGGATGCTCCTAGAACATGGACAGCTGATGGTAGGTTATCGTTACTGCATGGATCATATGGGTGGATTCTCTGATCGGTGGGTCATTACATCTGGGGCCCTTAGGACAACAACAGCTCGAGGGGTTTAACCTGAGGATGTGTTTACCCACAGTATTGGAAGAGTTTTGCCATGTGAATAATGCAAGATGTGAGGTCATATACTGGTAAGTGGACAATAATATGTCAAATTTGGAGATAGGATGTGAGGCATAGTGTGTGAGAGTTTCGAAGTGTGATATTGAAGCACACCATTGTGTGTGTAAAGTAAGTCTGATGAAATAATTTTTGGCTCCAAGTGAGGTAGTAAGTTTGTTGGAATTCTCGCCTTATGATAAAAGAGATAATAGCGTGATTTAATGTTGACAGATTGAGTAAGTTTCCTTCTAGGAAGGCTAGCGATGAGCAAGAGTTCAAGTTAAAATGGTGACTTATTAGCCTTCATAAAAGGTAAATTGTAATGGAGTCAAGTACGAACGTGTAATAATAGCTGGAAACTGGAATTGCAATTGGATACCTAAAAGTGGATAGCTTGGCTTTACTGGTAGAGTGGATTGAGGAGTGTTATATATTTGCATAAGCCACTTATGGTGGAAAGTGTGTGGAAAATGCACAATGTTGATGTTATTTGGCTAGGTACTAATAATGTATGGTCGAGTGCTTGTGGTAGCTTTGAATATTCCGAGAGGCTGGTATACCAACCGATGGTGAATTGTAGAAGTAATGGCAATGATGGATTTAGTTTCATGTGACCTGATAATTAAGTTTCAAAAATTCCTATAGGATGAGACTTGTATGTGAGAGATATGACATTTCCGAATGGTCCACCAGGTGATAGTGAAATGGGTTTGGAAATTTATTCGCCAATGTGTGGTGGAAGTTAGTAAAGTTGTGAGGTTATAATATTGTTACAGAATGACGAGTAAAAAAATGGTTAATTGGTGAAAACCCTTTGATACGGAAGGCATTGATGGATGCAGAGTTTAGGCTCTGAGAGGGCAAAATTGATAGGGTTTAAATGGTTAAGTGATAAATAGATTAACAGGGAGTGTAAATTATACATATGATTTTGTCGATGGAAATATTCATGAATGGAATTGTGGGTGAAGACCTTGAAATGAATGACAGGGAGTATGAGTTGTTTTGAGGATTGGTAGCTTCGAGTCCCAAAGAGAAAGACATAGTGGTGATTATCTAAGAAGATGTGGAGACACGGGACAAAGTAAAGTAAAGTATGTAAGAATGGAATGTAACGAGAGTTGAGATTATTTGGGTGTTGTAGCATGCAACTGAAACTAAGAGGTATGAGCTTGTGCGAAAGCTAAGGAAGAAACAAAATGGTAAGATTAGTAACATCAATGGAAAAGACTGGTATAATGAAGATGTTGGGGTATTGTTGAAACAGTAAGGACAGCGAAAGGAGTTAACTATTAAAGAAAGTGTGAGTTGGAAAGATTCTAGGAATAATCAGTAAATATATATGAGGACGATTAGACTCTATTATGAATACGGTTAGAGGCTTTTGGGAACGACATTGGGTCAGAAAGGTAGATAAAGATGAAAATGGGGTGAAATTAGACAGACAAGTTTGTAATATGGGTAAATTATGACATACAAATTAACGAAAATATAACCGTAGTCTATGAAAACAGTAAAAATATAGTGAATTAAGAGGCCAGATCCCCGAATTTGTCAAGTTTTGTGAAGGATTGGGTAACGATGGATACCACAAAAACGAGGTTAAGCCTGTTACGAAAGTAAAATTGTAAAGATGCACACCTAAGGAGGCTAGTTGAGAGTGGAAAGATGAGATTCTCCGGTTACATCCCGAGTTACGGGGTCGTTAGGATGTTAATTTTGCGGACAAAATTCTAAAAGGTAGGGTGATTATAACACCTCACAATTCTAAATTATATATATATTAAAATATTAAATGAGGATTAAAGGGAAGGATTAGTGAAAATCTTGAAAATTAGGCCAAAATACAAAGAAAGGGCAAAACGGTAATTAGCCAACACGCAACCCTAGGAAGATAAAAATTTGAGAGCAATTGGTTGAGTGGATTTTCTGCAGTAATTCGTGGAGTGAGGGATGTTTGGAGCTGTTTTGGGGTTGGTTGGCAGTTTTGCTTGTCCAACTTCAAACGGCGATATCCGGAGCAAACGAGATCGAAATGACTCGTGTGATGGTTCATTGGAAAGGTATTTAAGTAAGAAAAAAAGATAGCTAAAGAGGAAGGACTGGTTTTGTGCGGTGTGTCCGCAGAAAAATAATAACCGAACCATGTTCGGATGAGTAGAAAACGTAAAATCGAGAAATTAGCTAAGTGGGTTTATGGGAACCCCTTAGTGTCTTGTATTGAGTAAAATAAGGTATAAAAATAGTTTAAACAAGTATTCCGCAAGAGTTTACAATTATGGTCACAGCTATTAATTATTACGCTTTTTATTGTTTTAAATACTCGCGTAATAACGGAAAAAGTTTATTCGCATTTTTATAAATGAATTGTTGTGATTGTAACTGCACTTAATATCATAATTAATGTTAACAATACCGGTGTACAACGGGCTGTTACACTCCAACAATGAACAGATCAGCTCATGGGGTCCAATGGTGGAAGTTTCGGCCAGAAAGGTTTTCAGCAACAGCAAATAACAGAGCAACGGTGGCTGGAATGATGAGAGAAACCAGAAACCGGAGTCGAAACATGGCTTCCGGGAGGATTTACACGTAATAGATTTGCCTCTTGTCACGCTCTAAATATCATGTTAAATAATGAATTCCATGTGTCTAAACTACACAGGTTTGATTTTATAACCCAAAAGGGAGTAACATACAACAAACCTAAACAGATATTTACATAGAATGAACCTAGTCAATAAATGTGTCTCTATACAGTGAATGAATCTAGACATGGTTCTTAACGTGCACACACATATTAGACTTCTATTTCAAATAAGAATCTAAATTCAAGATAAGCACAACGAAGTGTTGACAATCTCTTTCTTAGCCATTAACTATCTCTTATCATTTCTGCTATATCAATGAATATGAGTCATGGACAACCTATTTCACACATTGAATTATATTGCCTCACTCAAAATGGATTAAAAATATTAATTTGAAAGTTGAAACAAGTGACAACAATTATTTTAAAATACTAAAATTAATTTGTGACCAAAAGGTCTTGGGTCCAAATCCAAAAACTAGTCTCTTTGCAAAACAAATACAAGGGTCAGGCTACCTATAAGGATTTTCTCACCCCTACCCTCACTAGCCTAGGTTTCAAGAGGAGGAGTTGTTTCATTTAGAAAGTTATTTTACAACATTATCTTAAATTAATATGTATGTTAAATTACATCCTTATTATTTACATTAATATTTTTACCCAGAGTAAAAGAAAATTAGGATCTCTTACATCATCTGAAATAAGTTGGCTTAACTCATTATGCTCATCCAGCTTCAAGTCCAGACCTTCCAGCCTCTTGGTTAGATGCCTTTTTGTTGACTGCAAATTAAATAAACAGAATTTTTCACCAAAACCCAAAGTGGAAAGATGTTCAAATAGTTAGAAAGTGATGCCAGCACAAGCTACTTACCACCAATGTTTCATGTACATTCTCTAATTGCTTTGATACAGTGGCAGCAGCATTAGCCATATTTCGCTTGGTCACAAACATTACATCAGAAAGTGACCATCCCTGCAAGATAAAGGAAAGAATATGTGCTAATCACAATCATTGCATCATATTCTGGTTCTACTCAAATGCATTTGTTAAGAAAAAGTGATTAGGTTATAGTCTTACCTTCCACCACATGTAACAATATCCCATAGCTCCTATTGCAGCGGCAGGTAGTAAGTAAGAAGCAAAACTCCCTATGCCCAAATGTTAACATCAACATATTTAATATAGTTAACAAGACATTCTTATAGATAAAGAAAAATATTACATTTCAAATAATAAATCTCTTAACACTTGGAAACAAAATTTTCATGATCTGACAAACTGACCATACCAGGCCAGAAGATATACATATGAATACATCTTCAAATGTCATCTATGAAATGAAAATGTGAAAAAGAAGCAAATTGCTCTCGACGGGACCAAGAGGTTTGGATTGTTGTTAATGACATAGGAATCAGTCAACCAAATTTTACTCAAAATAGTGAGTGCTATTAAGAATTTATAAATCTGAATTTTTAAGGGAACTTTCTGAAAAGAAAACATACATTTCAGTGATAGATCAAGTGGCATCGTCAAGAAAAGAAAACCTTAAAGCTGCGAAACAAGCTAGAAAACTGATGAACTAGTTAATTAGCGTTTATTACACATGCATAACCAGAAAAGGATTAACCACAAAATCATTTACTCACTAGAATGACACCCAATGACAGTAAACATAGACCGAGTCTTTAAAATAAGTATTTAACAAAATTTTCAAGTCCATTGTATGATTACCACATTTACATTGATGCTTACAAAGAGGAAGCGTTCATAAAAAATTTCATATAAAAGAATTGTTTGTATATCAATTAACAGATTTAGCACAGTAAAGCAGTAGGCGTAGATAAAATGCAATGTCACTTTCTTTTCCCATAAAAACTAAGGGGGTGTTTGGTAGGGGGAATTTTTTGAGATTCCCGGGAAAGTGATAGTGGTAATCCTATTTACCCGTGTTTGGTATAAGGTTTCTGAAAAATTTTCCAGGAATTTGATTTTTCCAGGATTTTGTTTTGTGTACAATTTTTCTTCCAAAATGCCATCTAAAAATACCAAAGGGGTGGTATTCTTGGAATCACAGATATTGGCAAAATTTTACATTTTTTTGGGGACAAAATCCTGGTAATATTTTAGCCTACCAAATAACTTTTTGGTAACATTACTGGAAAAGTGACTTTCCCATCATATTCCTGAGAATCATGATTTCCGGGCACAAAAAAAATTATCTTCTACCAAACGTTCCCTAACAGTCAAATTCTGATAGGATATTTTATCAAAAGCTCAAATTTGACGCACAGAAATAGAGTATTCTTTCCCTTATCATCCTTCACTTGTCAATTTGTTTCGTAGTGGGATTTTGGGTCCAAGCCCATTATAGCCAAGCCTTTTATCATTTAAAAATAGGTCAAATCATACCCATAATTTAGCCTACACCAAGCTAATAAGTCAGGCCATGTTTCAAATATTTTACATAGGTCCTATTTAGGTTAAACCTAGCCTATTTTTCTTTTCTTTTTTGTAGATTAGTCTAGCCCATGTACACTCCTACTTATCAATACAAACTTGAAGTTCAACATTTTCCTCAAGGTGGAAATTGGTGATCCCCCCTGCATGAGAATTCCTGCTGTTCACCTTCCCAAAGTACTTCTCCCCCCTTCCATTGTAATAATCTGATGGACCACTAGAGCCTTTCCCTCGTAAATATTCAAGGAAGAGAATTAAAGGTGTTGCAACCCAACAACAAGAAATAGTCCAGAGAAATGAAATTGAGTTGACAAGTGGAACAAGTCAGAATGCTGCTCAAATTGTCCAAGGAGGAATTGGGCCCAAGCCCAAGTAACCATCACCAAGAGGCAGAAACGGGGATCCAAAAGATGAATAAGAAAATGAAGTTAGTTATGCAATATGGAGAATTGGACAGCTGGCAGATGCTGAATGGAGAAGGGGTAATTGGAGATGGAGAGCAACGTGATCGTGGTTAGTTATATTGGAGAGAGAGACAACGAAAAGGAGGATGGAAAATCATTCAACAAATTGGGAGAAAGGGGGTAGTGCATTCTCTGCAAACGGGTTTGTGTTGTAGAGGGTGGTTGGAGTATGAGCGTATGAATAATAGTAGCAGTAAAGTAAAGAGTCTGTAATTCGTCATTTCTTTGTATCTGTTGTTTCATTTGGAGTCTGTAATTACAGTGCCTTGCTGGTCTGTGATCTGAGGAGTCTTTGGATTATTGTGCTTAATTTCTTGTTAATGTGTCTCCCTTCTATAGTACGAGGGTAAGAGTCTGTTTGATTCACGCTTGACTGAATGTGTGATGCTGTTAGTTTCTTTTGATTATGAATATAATAGTGACATCTAGGTATTTCAGAGATTGAAAGTTCCTTTTAAATTCCAGATTCTTCTGTTATTCATTTAGCCAATTATTACAGCACTAACAGTGAGGCCCAGGTACCAACAATTTGGTATCAAAGCTCCATTGATTCTGAAAAAAAAAAAAAACGAAGAAAGAAAGAAGTATATGGTACTAACGAGGATGGAAGCAAGACTAGAAGAGTTGGAGAGAGGGAGAGCTAGGGAGAATGAGCGGTTGATTGGACTCGAGGAGTCCATTCGTCAATTAAGCACGACGGTAATGGAACTCGTACATGGGGTTAATGTATTGAGGACGGAAGACCGTGGTTCGAGAGACGGAAGTGGAAACAGGGATAGAAATGTAAACGGAGAGGGAAATGTAGGTGAAAGTGAAAGGGAGAGAAGCAATCGTATAAGGGATGAAGAGCGTGTAAGAAGGGTTGAAGTACCTTATTTTAATGGTGATGATCCTTATGGATGGCTTTATCGTGTTGAACGTTATTTCCGGATTAATCGAATTCCGGTGGAAGAGCATGTTGAGACAGCTGCGATTTGTTTAGAGGGGAGGGCCCTCAATTGGTTCCAATGGTGGGTAAACAGGAACCCACACGTTAACTGGAACGATTTCAGATTGGCAGTGTTGGAGCGTTTCCATACATCGTCCTCAGGGAATCCATATGAGGCTTTAATGAGTCTTCGTCAAGAGGGGACAGTTGCAGAGTACCGTGAACAGTTTGAATTGTTGTCGGCACCACTGAGACATGCAGAAGAAGAGATGATCAGAGCTGCATTTCTTAATGGATTGCGTGAAGATATTAGGGTGGAAATGAGGTTGTACGATCTGAATGAATTGGGAAGGATGATGACGTTGGCACAAAGGGTAGAAGAGAAAGAGAAGGTGAGGGAGAAATGGGGTACGACCGTGAAAGGGAGCAATAGCAACCCTGGGCATGGACATGGGCTGTATCAACGGCCTGCTTTGACAAATAGGGCCTTAAATAATTCTGAACAAAGGCCCAATAACAACCATGGGGCTGGACGAGGTGGGCTGAGAATAAATGGGTCACGAACTTCAACACCATTAGTTGGCCAACAAAAAAACGTTGGGTCAGGGAATAGAGAAGGGAGCACTAGAGAAGGAGGGGGAGGAAGAGAAAACCCTAACTCTAATTTTGGGAACCATGGCTCTAACTATAGAAGACTATCACCCGAAGAATGGCTGGAGAAAAGACGAAAGAATTTGTGTTTCAGGTGCAACGCACCATACACCTTCGATCACGTGTGTCAAAACGCGAGCATGAATGTGATGTTGCTAGGAATTGGAGACACACCTCCAGGAGAAGCCGAGACCGTGACGTTGTGCGAAGGGGACGGCGGAGAAGAAGAAGGAAGTTTGTCTAAGCATTCATAGCCTGGTTGGGTTGACATCGAGCCACTCTTTAAAGTTGTGGGGAGACATACAAGGCCGAAGAGTCACCGTATTGATCGACACCGGAGCTTCACACAATTTCCTCGCTTGGCAAGTGGCCGAGGAGATGAATCTGGCGGCTGAGGAAGCAGGGTTGTACTCAGTGGAGATGGGAGATGGGTATAAAACCCAAAGTCAAGGAACATGCAAGGGGCTACTACTTTCCTTACCAGGTTTGCCCGTAGTTCAAGATTTTTTTTTATTCAATCTGGGAGGGGTGGATGTGATATTGGGGTATTCGTAGTTGGAAGGGCTTGGAGAAATTCAAGCGAATTTTCGTCAGTCATTGCTAAGAATATCGTGGAAGGGGAAGACTGTAGAAATAACGGGGGACCCACAATTATCCAAAACACGCGTCTCTTATAAAGGACTGGGTAATGCCGTGAGGAAGGGAGCTGAGAGTTATTATGTGGAGCTGAAACTAATGGTACAGGGGGAAGAAGAAGAGGAGTGGGTGTCACCAGGAGTCCAGGGAGTAGTGGAGGAATTCATTGAAGTTTTTAAGGTGCCCACAGGCATGCCTCCAGAGCGTTCTTGTGATCATAAAATCCTATTAAAGGCAGGGGCAGAAATCCCAAACATTTGACCCTATCATTATCCTCATTATCAGAAAGAGAAGATAGAGAAGTTTGTAGGGGAGATGTTAGCTTCAGGGTGGATTAGGCCAAGCACTAGTCCTTACTCAAGCCCCCTGATTCTAGTAAAAAAAAAAGATGGAAGTTGGAGGTTCTGTGTAGATTTTAGGGCTCTCAACAAGGGAATGGTACCTGATAAATTCCCTCTACCGGTTATTGATGAATTGCTTGACGAATTAGAGGGAGCAAGGTTGTTCTCTAAGCTGGATTTGAAGTCCGGGTATCATCAAATTCGAATGAGGCCAGAAGATGTAGAGAAGACAGCCTCCAGGACACATGAGGGCCACTACGAGTACCTTGTGATGCCGTTCGGGTTGCGCAACGTGCCTTCCACATTTCAATCTTTAATGAACGAGGTATTTAGACCTTTCCTTCGGAAATTTGTATTGGTATTCTTTGATGATATACTAATTTACAGTAAAGATGAAAGTACACATGTGGGCCATCTACGGCAAGTGATGGAAGTGTTACAAAAAAATCAATTGTGTGCCAACAGAAAAAAATGCAGTTTTGCAAAACAAAAATTGGAGTATTTGGGCCATATCATTTCGGGCAGTGGATTGAATGCAGACCCGAGGAAGGTAGAGGCAGTCCAAAATTGGCCCGTTCCAAAAAATCTGAAGGGCTTACGTGGATTCTTGGGGCTAACCGGGTACTACCGAAGATTTGTAAAAAACTATGGTCATGTTGCTCGTCCCTTGA